TTTTTTTTTTACCGACATCCACACCCAACATTAAGATAACTAGTGATACTCTCTTCGTTTAATTTTAGTTTATTTTAATCGAAATCAATTCACGCAAGAATATATACATCCTGGTAGTTCGGCAGAAAAAAAATAATATATACATCATTGCTTATGAAGTAATATAAATTCACTGATTGATTAACCAATGATTGATAAGATCTTATTAGCAGCTAGAATGCCAGTTTCCAATGCAGCGTTCACAGTTGAATAATAGTGTTCATGTGTTGCTTCACCAGCAAAGACAATTCTTCGAATCTAAAATTATGTTTTTCTTTTTATATTTCTCATAATGAAATAGAATGATCTTTCAATCGTTCGAAAGATACAAAGGCGACTATAAGGTTTTAACCACGTATTCCGCTCTGGGATTGAAAAATTACTATGATACTTATAGTCGTCTTTAACTAAAGCAGAATCCAAGATGCATAAAAAAATCTCATACGTGCTATCGATTTGTTCTACTAATTTATTTTTTTGTATTTCTTTGTACAAAGTGATTCAAACCATAAAGAGAAATTAGTCAACTAAAAAAATGTTGTAGAATCTTTTTGAATAGAATTTTTTAGTAGACAAAATTTATTTTTTATCAAATATTTGTTTTATTTCTCTTACTTATTTAAAAAAAAACTATTATTATTAAAATTCATTCAGACATTTGAAATATTCTCTAAGTTTCTATCAAAAACTAATCCTTATTTCTAAATTTCGATTAATATAATCATACCCCATCTGGTGCATAAGATGCTTGCAATTGTCTCCGATCATGTTTAGTTGATTTAATCGATGAATACGAATATGATCCTCGAATATATTTATTACTATGCCATTCACTTCTAATTAAATATGAATACAAAGATAATAAAAAAACACGAAGATCATCAAACAGCCTATTAATATATAAAAATATCGTACTTAAGTATTCGAACTGGTTGATATTTTTCTTGAACAATATTCAAATAATTACAAAGAACTTCATGACAAACTTGTCCAATTAATTTTTCACTTAGATTTTCAATCATAATTGCAGTTGGACCAACAAACCAACAAATTAAAACTGGTATATCAGTTGATGGTAATACATCATAATGGAATAACATATTAACAATTTCTTTAAACATATCTGAATCGACTCGTTCAATTTGTAGTTGTTGCCTTAATTCATCAGATATTTCGAATGATAGATCTTTTTTTGTATGCAATAATACAATACTATTAATATGTCGACTCCAAAATTTCTTTTTGTATATCATAATTACCTAATGTGAAATAAAAAAAAAATTTTGTTTTTTTTGTTTGATGGATCTTGATCGAAACATTTTTGAACATGACAAATTTTCATATTTGCGAACCTTATCTATGTACAGTCACGCTAAAAAATTGATCGTACATTCTACTGATGACTGTTTTTTTCAATAGCTTCAGAGAGTTTGAGCACTACTATTTTCAAGAAATTAAGATATATAAATTATTACTTTTGGATGATTGTAAACATCAAATTGTGTACTATCTTACTTTGTTTACTGTACCAAAACCTATATTAGTAATAGAATTTTGTTTTTGTTGAATTAATTTTGGTTCATCAGCAAATATCATATGAAAATTTTCTTTTAAATAACCTAATGAAGTTGTCCAAATAATATGATCACATATTATTGTTTTCATACATTGTTGATTTAGATAATTCATTTCGACTAATAATTTTCGATCGTCTTCCATAAATTTTACTCGTATTACTTCACAATTCAAACGAATACGTTTATCATTGGGTATAAAAGATTTTAAATAATTAATAAATGGACGATATCCACCATTTTTTAAATCATTTTCATATTCACCTTCAAGATCTTCATAGGCAAGATATTCTAAATGATAGACGAATATAGAATTAAATAGAAAAGAATGCAGATAAATCATATATATTACCTATTAAATTTAAATCAGATAATGACAAACAACTAGTTTCTGTCATTTCTAATTTCATAAAATAATCAATAAAAGGTTGAATTAAATCTTTGGAAAAAGATGAAGAAGATAATAATCGTTTTTGAAATTCTTTAGGTACAATATCAGCAAATGATATAGGCGATAATGTTGTCCGATCATCATATTTTTCTTCAGCTTTATTTCTTGTTCGCTCCCATAGATCAGTAGCTTTGTCTAATATTTCAGATTTACAATATTTACCTTCAGATGTTACAATCAATGCGTCTATATAAAATAGAGATAACTTCAATTATAGAATACAAGTTCAAATCAATATACTTATGATCTATTATATTTTCTATTGATAAGTTTTTACACATATAGAACAATAACGGATGGCGCATAATCAACGAGATAAAATTTCTTTCTCTTTTTATGACACTTCTCAATACATTAAAGAACTTCCTTCTTTACAAAATTAATGATTATTTTTCAAATAACTATTTTTTTTTCGATGCAAAATTTAAAAGATGAATAACCTATTCAATTGTCTAGCTGCAAACGTCAAAAAACGAAAAATCTTTTATAGATGTTTCGCTAAAATTTCAAACATTTTATTGAAGTAAAAAAAATCATTTTTTGACAGAATTACATCATTGTTTTTTTCCTAATCTTTCTACTCTTCAATTTAACAATCATACAATTTTATTCAGAATTAAATTCTACAATCCACGACATGAAAATAAACATGTCATAGGCCAAGTTTCATTTTGAAACATATAGTTGTCTAGAATGTCTCTCAAAATCATCATCTTTCAAATTTTGCACCGACAAAAAGAAAATTTATTTGAAAAACAAAGACAATAGTTTTATAGAGTAGGAAATTCTCTATCAAAGTCTCTAATGTGTTGGAAAGTGTCCTACGAAGAGGAAAGCAATTTGCCTGCTTTATTATGTGCCAACCGTTAGAAATGAGAAATCTATGTAATAAAATACATCATTTTTTTTTCAATCTAAAGAAATTCTACATCACATATGTCTATTCCAATTGTATCAATGAGTATTATTTCAAGAGAATTATCAATAGAAATTAATTCTTTTTAATCTTTGGATTAAACAGAAAACTTACAAGATTACTAAATAAATACTCTATAGCAAAAAGATCTCTGTATGCATTACATTTAGTCAATTATATGAACATGTGTCTTCCTCTATTTGAATGTAAGTTGACTTAAGAAATTAGCCATACTTATTACACATGATATCGTCTTTTATTTTTACATACCATCATCAGACTCTTCATCATCTGATAGAAGAATATTCAATTCATCACAAATATCATAAACAGTATTTTTCTTGTCACCATGTACATATTGAGCACCCTAATAATAGGTTATATTTTTTTAATAAAAATAAAATAAGAAAATCAATTTACCAAATCGATTGTAAGATCCGGTGCTGATTAATATAGTCGAAAGAAAAAGAATCAAATTGCAAAAAAAAAACTCAATATTAATACCTGCATCAACAGTAAGAATACGACCACCAAGATAATTTTGTGCTTCAATCAATACATAATTTACATCACGTCCTAAGGTTTTTGCAGCTGCTAAACCTGCTACACCACCTCCGACAATGATTACTTTAATATACTCCATATTGATTGTTTTTTTTCTTTCAATACGAACAGGTAACTAAACCTTGGCAAAAACAATATACATTACTCAATATTTATATATAAATATTTACTGTCATAAACGATCAATTGTATCTTGTTATGAAAGAATCAAATGACTTTTTTATGAAGAAGAAACGAGTGAAGGTCACACGTACTTTATCGTCGGTAAATTTTGCATACAAGACATGCATCTTTTGTAACATTAAGAAAAAGGAGAAAAAAAAGCTATTGGACGTTTGTTTTTAACCATTTGACAAGTAAAACTCATAGAACTTAATTAAATGTCAAGAAAACAGTATTTATTAATTACAGAAAGAAAAAAATCTAAAGCTTAAAGAGAAAATAAAATAACTAACATCAGAAAAGAAGAAAATAATTGAGAAATAAACTTTACTTTTATGTTCTATGATGTCGAAGAAATATGTTTTTCGAACTAATAAATTATTTAAAATCGTGTTGACTAACAGGCTGTTATGATTTTTTTAAATAGCTCTCCGATATTGAACTATATATTAGTACATTAAACTATGTTCATTGAAATTAACATATTGACTCATGGATTATTGATAATAAAAAATGATCTATAATAGAATCAAAATTCATTGACATGATAAAGATATTTTTTTTTCCTTATGTAGTACCAATTACTTTGATAGTCGAAAGTGCTAAAACATAGAAGGTCTTCTTTTGACGAACAAATGAAACAATGATCTTATCTATTAGATAGTAGAATGTAAGATTGAAAAGAAAAAGTTGAAGACTGACACAAACTAAAGAGTTTGAATTTTTGTGCCTAACAGAGCGATATAACATCTAACTTTTCTTATTGGTATCTTGTAGTAGAATTCTTTCGCTTCAGATTTATATCTGTGAAAAGATTTCGTAGATATGTCGTGTGATTATTACAAGATATGATTTGCAATAGAGATATCTTTTTTCGATAGTTTCTATTTACATTCATTACACATCAACATGTATGGTGCAAGAATTGAAATAATTAATTCTTAATAACAATTGCTAATCTTGATTTCTTTCATAATAGACAATTGACAGGAAATAAAACAGATGAATACAATAAACTTTTTTGTTTGATTTCTATGTGTTCATTTAGGCATTTGCTTATTGATATGCTATCTATTATCAAGTTTTTTACATTATGTAAAATATTTCCTCTATTTTATAGTTAATTGAAATTTTGTTTTCATACTCAAAGTATCTTACAGTTTAGAGTATTGTTGCTGTTGATTAGGAAAAAAATCATTATAGTTGTCCTTGATTCATTTCCCGTTTAATAGTTGCCAATTAGTTTGCTATCTATGATTTCTTTCGTCGTCAACAATGAACATTAATTCCAATGTATTAATTTAGTTGATCGAAAACTATGCATGTTTATGTCATTTACTCAAATTTATCAAAACATTGCCAATGTCAGATTTATCATGTTCTTCTTTATTCGTTGAAAAAGAAACAAGCAAAAATGCAATGTAGTAGACATTTGATGATTGCTCTTAATCGAACAGAGGCTTTGTTGAATATATAGGCACAGAATTATATGTATAACCCAAAAGAAAATATAGAACAACAGAAAATAATAATCATAGTAATAAATACAGATGTAAGTTGATAGGTGCAGAATTTTCAAAATAGCTTAGCTGCTGTGACTTGTTGCCTCTCAGAAAAGATACTTTTGAAGAAAAAATATTATTCTCTTTTTTATCATAGCTATTTAAATAGTTAGTCCTTTTGTAATAACATTTAGTTTATTAATCTTTATTATGTTATGAACTATTTAAACCTTACATTATTAAAAAATTATAAAGATTTGATAAATATACAGATTTTTAATAGTCATTTACATAACGAAAGAAAATACGAAATTCTGTTAGCAACGAATCAGCTACTTAAATCATTTAATAGCTGTATACATTTTTGTTTCGAACAGCTAACTTAGGACTAACGAAAATTGCTCTGGATGTTTTTCTTTAGTATTTTTTTAAAGTGTTTTCTAGGAAAAAAATTTCTATCGCTTTTGAAAATGAGCCGTTGACAGATAAAATGACAGCAAATATGTTGCGCATAACATTTATTTATTTGTTTTTCTGTTTTTTTTTAATATTCTCATTTCATTTTATTCAATTCTAACTAATGCATCATCTTAGAAACATTTCGAAATTGATCTTTTTTCGAGTCAATGGAAACATTCAATATTTAATTTCAACTATTTTCGATTCAAATAAAAGAACAATTTCATGATATTCCAGTTTCTTATTCATCCACGTACATCCAAATTTTCCCTCCCTTGCTAATAAAAAGCAATCATAATAAATAAGTAGCCAAATGATATTTAAATAACTCTGAATATTTATAAAATAATGCTTAAGATTAAATAACTATTCATTTAGAGATATGAACAATGAGTAAGTAACTTTAATGTTTATTAAAAGTAAATATATACTTTCCCTATAACATATATAAAAAGTAGCCAAATCAGTGAACACTGATTAAGTAGCTTTTATAGGGATACGTCGTGACTTACACAGAATGTCTTCTATATAAAAGGATGGATACAATGATATGCAGCAACAGAAATGAAGAAAAAAGCATTAAACAAAAACATATAAAAGCATAGAATGATCCTTGTAAATACGGTTAATGTTAGGGTTAATTGGAATCGAACGTCAGATTGTTTGCAAGCCATCTAGTAAATGATAATATTCTTTTGTTTGTCTCTCAAAATAATTGTTGAACTTAGTCAACAGATGGCCGTAGAGTATAGTATTGATCAGAATACTTGTTTAGTCTGTGATTAAGAACTTCATTTAATACGAGCCATCCACAATTCTACAACACAATGAATATAAAAAAACATTTGAATACTTTGTTGTGTTGTTCAAAAGTAAGAATAAGCATTTAGGATTGCTTGATTTTCATATGTATCGAGTAAATTAAATGCCAGTCTGGACTCTTCGATTCTTATAACGAATAGACCGACGCACCGAGCATTATCACTTCTTAAGGAATCAAAGTGGCGTTCGGCATGATTTCTAGGATCCAGATGATGCTCTGTATTGATACCGTAATAATCATATATTTGTAACTCTAATTTCTTCGTTAAATTTGCAAGAAATTGTTTCTCTGTATTCGTGATAAAATTAACTGAAAGATCGTGAAGCATTTAACAAATCCATCGGAAGATAAATCATCATAAAGACATGATTCAGTCTAATTGAAAGGTCTCTTTACCTCAAATTCAAAAACTAACTTTATATGCTTATACGAATGAAAGAATTTTCAAACCCAAGAACGTAGACATATTTACATCATAAAATAATAAAAATCGAATATCCATGAGCTATTATATTGCTCGATAAATGCAAGAGCTGAATTTAACAATAATAATCTTACGTCCCAATAGTGAATATCTTTACATGACTTTAGATTTTTACCTGTACAGTTTTATGAGTAACGCGCATAAAATGACGCTGCTTGTTGTACTTATTACTCATCGCAATGTGCTGCATTGATTTGTAGCAATAGAAGAAGGAAGAAACCAATGTCATCAGTTTCTCCTCTTTCAGCCTACGCATGACGTCATGAATGTATTGCAACGATGTATTATCGTTTCACCTGAAGTGATATATATATATGATCAGTTCTCTTTCATTGCTCTCAGGTTAACATCATTTACTGCTAGTAAAATTTATTGTAAAACTAAAAAACAATGACCACTAAAAGATATCAACTAGCTCAACCAACATCCTCAAATGATAACTTTTACAACCTTCCATCAACTAGAAATCAATTCAATGAAATTTCCATCGATCTCAGACAATATCAGCAACCTAAATACTACTCTCCAATGAATGGTAACTTACAACAGACGCCAATAGTTTCACATTCACAGCAACAGTTCGGGACAAATGATATTGAGAAATTCAACAATAATCCCTATGCAGCACAAACAATAAGAGCCTATCCAATTGTCGAACAACCTTCACCACCAAAAAAACATCATCGTTCGTCAAGCAAGAATCTGGGTTCGTCTTCTGACTACGGGTGCTGTATCTGCTGCTGTGATGGTAATGAAGACAATATTTCTTCTATGGAACCTGATAGCTGCTGTGACAGCGATGGTTGCGACTGTTGTAGCAGTGATTGCTGCAGCTGCGATTGTGGCAGCTGCGATTGTGGCAGCTGCGATTGTGGCAGCTG